CTCATATTGCAATTTTTGTTGTTATCATTGCTTTTCTCTGGCACTCCGTATTACTGGTCCCCATATTATATTCATTTCTATGCTTGGTCGGCTCAAGAGATTTTTGTGGCCTACCTTATGTGCTGATTCCTTAAGTTTACGAATTTTCCAATTATGTTCTTTGTCTATGATCTCAACCTTATCCCACAATGGGCGGTGATCTTTCTTCTCTCCATATGTGGTCAGCCACGCCTGATTTTTCTACTTCCCCTCGTGTTACAGCTTTCTGGTGTTCTTGAAGCCTTACCTTGAGGGGGCGGCCTGTCTCCCCTTTTATATTTCTTTCCGCGGCTGCACGGGATAGCGTATACACAGTCTTTAGTCATGTTCTCTTCCAGGGGGGGGGTATTACTCGGGAGAGAACAGTCTACCCCAATGAGCGAAATAAAGGGTTCAGTTCGACATTCCAATCACCTGAACAAGGCCGGAGCGTACAACGGCCGAAATGTTGTAATAAATATGGCGACAAAGAAGAGGACAATAGTCCGAATAATGTAAACAGTGTACATAATACCTCATCTCAGAAATATAGACAGATAAAAAAAATATATATTTCTTAAAATCATTTGAACTCACATATTTAAAAGGCTTTCAACTCCCCTATTATTGCTCTATACAAGATTCATGGCTTACGATGATAACTGTTTGAAACACCGATTCTCGTACGATCATCGAATTTAAGCAATGTTGTGCCTGGTCATTATCTAGATGGGTTACCGCTTGAGAATTCTAAGTGATGTAAGCTTGGAGGTGCGACTAATTTATCAAATGAAGTTTCGAAATTTGAAATTGAAAGCCGTGTTCCAATTCCCGTCAGGTTCATTATATTCACTTATTTTGAGAATACATCCATTTAAAGTTAACTGACCTGTAATAATGTTAAGAATCAGGCTAAACCATAAAATGTGATAGTAAGGTTGATTTTAAGATCACCCCCTTAAAAAAAAACACAAATAAAATAAAAACGGCAAATATTTAGAGTAAAGACACTATACAACAGTTAGAAAAAAGGGTTAAATTTAGGAACATTAAGATTACCCCCTTGGTTATCCATTGAAACTGCTATCCACCGAAAAACGAAAAGAAGCCAGTCCCCACCGTGAACCATTTAAAAGATAGTTCGTGCAGTGGATTGGTTGTTACAAACATCCAATCGGGTGTGCGGAAAATGTGGTCTTTCTTCGTCTAATTCATTAAAAGGCCAGAGTAGCTGTTAGCGTTTGATTGTGAGGGGGAATCAGGGATTGATCTCCCCTGATTGGGTCGATTTGGGGACGGAGAGTATGATGTTGAAAGACCGGAAACTCCCTGATGAAGCAAATCAAATCACATCACTGACGACCCCCTCGGGCGCCTACTGAAGAGCGTATTTTTGAATGACATACGTGTAAATACTCCTCTTCTCCTCCAGCTATGGATTAATTAGTAAGAATCTTAACAGTAAATCATTATTATCTCCAAAAATTTCTTCTAAACTAAAATTATTTTCTGGCATAAAATAATCTCCAAAAGTTTGATAAGCTGTGAAATGTAAATGAATCACAATCTAAGACTGGTGGAAGTTTCCTTCCAAAACTTTTTTGTTGGTATTACTGTTGAATTTTTGTTATTTGTTAAAACTTTTTGTTTCTTCAGTGCCAGCATAACGGGTCTGATGAAGGGCAGTATTCTTTAAAACCTAAAGGATTTATTTGTTTGAAGCTATTTTTAACCATAGATCTGAGAAAACGGTTGTGCATAGTTGATAGTTTTGACATTTCTAGATGTTTTGTACGCCATGAGCGTCTAGATCCGACGAGGATATTTAAGAACATAACTCAAGTTTTCAGGTCAATATTTTCGTTTTCTAGCCAAGAAAATCCTATCCTGTGTTCAACTTCCTTCCGCCTATACTAAATTTGTTGTTTGTGTTTTGTCTAATTTTATATATCAGTCCTACGACCTTCCGATCCATCTGAGCAAATGCTTTAGTTTTATTTGTATTTTTTCGTCTGTATCACACCACTCTAAAGATCGTTGCTTTATTTTTTCTTGAACATTGTGAAGCGGATAAAGAATGAAGAAAGGGAAAATAATTAAAAAAAACCTAGAACAAAGAAAGATGAAGATGACCGTATAATATAAAAGAAAGTAAAACTAAACCGCATGAAAGGTGAGATCAGAATGAATCAAAGATAAGAAAGAAATTAAAAGACAAGACAAAGTTTTAAAAAAGGACGGAAATTACTAGAAAAAAAACTTCAGATAGAAAAATAATTAAGGAAAGAAAAGTAGAGAAAAACAAAAGAAAGAAATTAAGAGAGACGGGGGGGGACAGTGGTAAGAATAAAAGTATAGTGAAATAAAAACAAAAAATCAAAAAAGAAAGCAAGGAAGAATAAGAAGAGGGTTAGAGGGAAGAAGGGCGTAATAAGATTGAAAGAAAGGAAAGAAGAGAGAGCCAAAAAAAAGAAGAAAGAATGTGAGAGAGAGAGGGACAGAAAGAGAAACAGGCAAGAGGAATAAAAAGCAAGCAAGAACGAAAGAATGAGGCAAGTGTTAGTGGGAATAAAGAAATAATAAGAATGAAATAAAGAAAAGAGAAAAAAAGAACAAGAAAGAAAGAAAGAAAGAAAGAAAGAAAGAAAGAAAGAAAGAAAGAAGGAACTAAAATGAAAAAGAAAGGGAAGAGAGTAATTGAAAGGATAGAGAAATAAAAACAAGAACGAAATAATGAGGGGAGTGTTAGAGGGAAGCAAGAAGTAATAAGAAGGAAAAAATAAAAGAAGAGAGAAACAAAAGAAAGAAAGAAAGAAAGAAAGAAAAAAGAAGCAAACAAACAAACAAACTGGAAAGGAAGTAAAGAGAAAGGAAAAAAAGAAACCAAAAACCAAGATAAGAAAGAAAGAAAGAAAGAATAAAAGAAAGAAAGAAAGAAAGAAAGAATAAAAGAAAGAAAAAAAGAAAGAAAGAAAGAACACTGAGAACGTAGAAAAGAGAGGAAGTGGCAAGTTGAATACAAAGCAAGGAAGAAAGAAAGAAAGAAAGAATAAGGTCAGCGTCAGACAGAAGAAAAATAAGAATGAAAGAAAGAAAAGAGAAACAAAAGCAATCAAAAACAGAAAGAAGGAAAGAAAGAAAGAAAAACGAAAGAAAAAATAGAGGGTTAGGGGTAAGAAGGAAGTAATAAGAATGAAAGCAAGGAAGGAAAGACAAACGAAAGTAAAAAAAAAGAAAGGAATAAAAAATAAAAGAAAGATTGAAAGAAAGAAAATGTGAGAAATAGGAAAGAGAGGAAGTGACCATGAAGTAATGATAATGAAAGAAAGAAAAGAAGAAACAAAGGCAAGAAGGAAAGAAAAAAGAAAGAAAGAAAAAGAAAATGAAAGATAGGCTTAACAGAAGAATGAAAGTATAGAGCAATAAATGCAAGAAAGAAACAATGAATTGAACGTTAGAGGGAAGCAAGAAAAAATAACAAGGGAAAAAGAAAAGAAGAGAAAAACAAAAGAAAGATAGAAAGGCAATAAAGCGAAAGAAAGAAAGGCAATAAGAAAGAAAGAAGGAAAGAAAGATAGAAAGATAAAAAGGAAGACAATAAGAAACATAGAATAAAATCAAATAAAGTGGCAGAAAAAAGAGCAAAGAGAAAAGACGAATGCCAAGCAAAGAAACAGGCATAATTTCCTTTCGATCCTATTTAGCGATCGTCTAAAGCTTTTAAACATTTCTCTCCTGGTGACAAATCTACTTAGTGTGCCAACCGCCAACGGAATAAGCAAAGAAGCCGTGCATCCTGAAATGGCAGACCCTTTAACACAAAGTTCATTAATCTTATTGCAATGTCTTTGCTTAAGGTGATTAACAACAGTAGCAGGGTTGGTAATGGCGAAGGATAAGAAGGTTAGTGTTCCGAAGGATTAACCCAGCTTGTGAACAGAGATCCTTAGTGATTGTGGTTCGTGTGGAGTCAGCTCGAGTCGACCAGAGCGAATTCAAAGGTCTTTGTTGTGGTTAGACAATGGTGACGTTGTGGAAGGGAGTTGTATAACAGTAAGTAGAGGCTTTGGCCAGTTCTTTTGTGGCAAGAAGGATAGAAGCTGTTGTAGTTCTGAACGAGTGATGTGTTTAGCATAAATGTTTTCATACTGGCTACTATTTTGATTATAGCTTCCGGCGTTGTCACTGTAATTTCTAAGGCAGGTGAGATAATAAAAGGTGTGGTTGGTCTTAGAAAATAAAGTATAGCACAAAACTCGTCTTACCATCAGGTATTATTTGTAATAGCATGATAGTTACTGAATCCAGCCCAAGAAGATTCTATCGGTTGGTATTCAATAAGCATGACACAACACAATAACTCAGTTATAGATCAATCCAGTAAGCATTAGGATGTCTGAGAGACAAGTTTGCAAAACTCAATCTAGCACACACACACACACACACACACACACACACACACACACACACACACACATATATATATATATATATATATATATATATATATATATGGCAATACTTTCAGTTGCTCAGTCACTAAATATACTTTCAAAATCTACCAGAACTCTAACTGTAGAAGTCATAACATAATTTACCTCCTAGAATGCAAACATTATTTAAAAAAAATCTAAATGGCCCTATCACTACAGAATTAATAATTATCGGAATCGAATTAAGTCGACTCCCCCATTACCTGTAGAACAACATTTCCGTCTAGAAAAATATTATTTTAAAAGCCATGCAAAATTCGCTATAATTGAAAAAATAGAAACAGACAGATAAGATAACCTTAGAAAAATACTAAAGGAACATGAAGACAAATGGATTTTGCGCCTCAAAACACTTCGTCCAGACGGGCTTCATCACAAATTTGACAACATAATTCCATCCCTATCAACATTTCTCACACACACAAGACAAGCATACTTGCAGAGGTCTCACACTTATGCACACACTCGTGCTAATATATGCACATACACAAATCAAACACATAATCCCAAAGAATAAAAGATAACATACACGTAACAAACACATCCCATTCCAAGCAACCAATAAAACAGTCAGACTTAACCAAGGACAGAATTCTTAAAATCAAGGATCTCCCATTCTCTATCTTAAAAACAAATTAAAATAGGCCGTTTGACCAACACAAGGACTGTCCAAAATTAAAGATAAAAAACAAATTACAACTACAGATAAAGTACACTTTCTTCAGAAACTGATTTTTCTCCTGTAGTTCACTGCTACTAACAGACAGGGATTTTTTCTCCTGGTGATGGCCATGTTGGTCGAAACTAGTCGAGGAACCTCATTGAAATAATAAAACGAAAAAATATTAACTAAATGTTAACTAAATATTAAATGTTAACCCAGTTGACCGAAAATTTTATTTTTTATTGTTCAAAGTGAAAATCGCACCGCAGCTCATGACGTCACACATGACCACGCGTGAGTGAATTCAAGAAGTATTAAGTATGGGAAGCCGTTAGTATAAACCAATGGGTTCTGTTACCAATTATAGACATTTCACTTGTTAGAATCCGGTGGCCTGCAGGAAAACGGATTTCGAAATGTCGCCGAAAAGCCTCGAATATATCCTTGGCCGACCTCAAGGAACGGCCCTCTGGGGTAATGACACCCTAAAAGTATCGATCGGAACCTCGACAGATCTCTTAGTTTCGAAATTCTGCGCCCATATTCACGGCTTTCGTTAGACATCTTGTTTAACCTATGTCTAACTACCTGACCATGGTAGCGCTTGCTAGCCACGCGTTGCAGGACCTGCCTAGCTATGGCTATCTCTAGGTAATCCTCCGAGCCGACTCCCGTGAGAGACTATTCTCTTGTTTTTTTCATCATTAATTCAGCCTTATCTCGAAAGATTATTTGCCTAAATTCTGTGGTGAAAGACCTAATCCTATCCTTAAGCCTCTCCCACCACTTATTCCCAATAACCCACCCGACTAATTCCTGCTGCACTAATCTAGTCAGTTGTTGTTCCAGTAAGGACATATTGAATTTCCACTGTCCAGTCTAGTACCTAACATCCTCCGAGCACAGACCAGTCTATGATCCGAATAGTCTAAACAGTGGTACGTGGAACAATCTAGTAAATCTAGGCCGACCCTTCTCACTAACATTCTGTCCAGGTAGCTGGGGACATGGCCAATGACGAGACAACGTCTACATCTCCCGCCCCGGATTATCGACCTGGTATCTATCGACCAGCCCAAACTCGCCGATCAGATCAACTAAACTCCGATCACCCGATGACCCCCCGTTAGCTCCCCGGTCATTTTCAATGTTGAAATATATTAACTGTTAGCAAGAAATAGATTGCTGTATGTATGCATTTATATACTGTTTTCAGTGAGACCTAATTCAGCTATGATCAGAATGATTTAGTGTGAGACTTCTTCTCAAACATGTGAATTTAAATACTCATTTAAATACTCATGGAGACCTACTGCACTCTATTCGTAACATACTTGTTGATAACACAAATATAATAGCATCGTCCACATATAACAATGGTTAAAAATAATGGAAGCCTCATTAATAAAAACAAAACAAAAAACTACACTCAATAATATCAACTATGAATATGAACACAATGTCTTGACTGTGTTTTGAAAATGAAAACATTATATAAATATATACATAGAACAATCTATTTCTTGTTAACAGTTAATATACTTCAACCTTGAAAATGGCTAAATGTATAGCCGAAAGCGCTCGTAAAAAAAGAACAATTGGACAGTTTTTATATGATTTATCATCCGAAAAGAAATACATTATAAGATCACATGACAAATTGTATAAAAAAAACTAAATCAAAGCACCTTGTCTGTCATATTCAATGAAATGTGCATGAAAGAAGCATCCCAACCAAAATACAGATATATATATTAAAGACATAGAAAATATTCGTCCTTTGACAGGATTCGAACCTGCATCCTATACGGAACCGTCATATACGCTGACGCGCCTTGACCGCTCGGCCACAAAGAATCATTCGGTAGACAAGGTCGAATTTACTGCTTATAAACTTCAATCTTCAATGAATCTCGTACATTCATAACTGCTCTGGCGTATCAAATGTAAACAAATGACGTCATATATTAAGAAATGGACAAGGTCCGACAATTTATTTATTAAAGACATTTTTTTATGTTTAACGTTGTTATTTATAGATAAAACATAACATAAAAAAATGTCTTTAATAAATAAATTGTCGGACCTTGTCCATTTCTTAATATATATATATATATATATATATATATATATATATATATATATGAACGCTACTGGTCAGAAAGAAACCTTAATTCAAACAAAGAGATAACAAAAATATAATGAGAAAATGAAATCGAAAAAAGAATGAAATGAATGAAAAATAACGCTATTTCAAAGAAATAGATAAAGACAGATCATGAGAAATATAAATGGAAAATAAATGAAAGAAAGAAAGAAAAAGTAGTGAAAGAAAGAGATAAAGAATGAAGATAATGAGAAAAAGAAATAGAAAAAGAATGAAAGAAATGTAAAGGAAAGAAAGAAAGAAACCGTAAGCCAAATAAAGAAAGAAAGATAGGAAGAAATAAATGAAGAAAGAAAGAAAGTAAGAAAGAAAGAACATGAGAAAAAGAAATAGCAAACGGAATGAAAGGCTTGAAAAAGAAACACATGGAGAAAGAAAGAAAAAAGTGAACAATTAATTTGAAGGAAACAAAAACAAAGGAAGATATGTAGAATGAAATAAAGTTGAAAAAGGAAAACGAAAAATATAAAATATACAAAGGAAATAAGGATGGAAATAAATTAAAATTAGAATAAAAAGAAAGAAAGAAGTACGAGGCAAAGAAGAAAGTGATAAAAAGACTACTTCACAAAGCGGCGTAAAAAAATTGCTAAGATCAAGTGTTGGGCAGAATAAGAAAACAGGTCGGCTTAGGGAATGGCACAAAGGAACCCAAATAAGTAACAAAAATAAATAAATAAATTGAAAATGAAAAAAAATGTGAGAAGTGAAACAGGAAATGGCTAGAAGAGATGTAGTCTCGGCCGGACAGAAGATTGAAATTAAGTCTTATGACAACACTTTATCTTGGAATGGTTCCTTCACTCCAGCACTGGACAAAGATGGACCAATCACTGAAAAGAGAACACGAGGGATTATCGCCAACGATGCGTTCATAACAACAACACGCGAAACAGCAAGTCTAGCGCCAAAGGAGGAATAGCGACAAGGAAACAAAATGGCAAGGAGTCATGAAACGTCAACATAAAGTCTGGACGAGAGGAAATAAAAATTAATAGAAACGAACGGTTGAATTAAGACATATTCACGTTGGCGTACGACCAAGTGAAAGGCACAATGCATAAAACCATTGCGGCTAAAAGTAGCCTAAAGCGTTCAGATGGAATGAGAACGTAGAAAGAAAGAAAGAAAGAAAGAAAGAAAGAAAGAAAGAAAGAAAGGAAAACCAAACAATACATTAGGAAGGGAAAGAAAGAAAGAAAGAAAGAAAGAAAGAAAGAAAGAAAGAAAAAGATATTTGGAAAAACAAGATATTCGAAGAAACAAAGAAAGAGAATATTGGAAAAGGGAAAAAGAAAGAAAGAAAGAAAGAAAGAAAGAAACAAACAAACAAACAAACAAACAAGCAATACATTAGGAAGGTAAAGAAAGAAAGAAAGAAAGAAAGAAAGAAAGAAAGAAAGAAAGAAAGGAAAACCAAACAATACATTAGGAAGGGAAAGAAAGAAAGAAAGAAAGAAAGAAAGAAAGAAAGAAAAAGATATTTGGAAAAACAAGATATTCGAAGAAACAAAGAAAGAGAATATGGGAAAAGGGAAATAGAAAGAAAGAAAGAAGATGGGAAAATGAAAAAGAAAGAAAGAAAATAGATAAATGAAAAATAGAAATTGATTCGTTTTTGTCTTCTGTTCGTTTTCTTTTCTTTTTTTCTTTACCGAAGTACAAAATTTTCAAATTTAGTTTGTCTTTTAATTTCTTGATTACATTTACATGATTCATGATTGTGGCTTTTCCTGTTTCTTGTAAAATAAAACGTTGTAATTATTTAATTAATTATTCAACGTCAAAGTAACGTCAAACACAACGTTTTTTTTTTTCTTAATCATTACTTCCGCAAAGTAGGTAAAATATCCTTTTGGATAATTTGATGTTTTCTAGTGTTTTATATAAAGCCCTCAGTCTTGTTCCATGCTCTAAGTGTTGCTGGTAGAGTATGAGGAATTCAATCTTGTCCGTGTTATATTTCCCATATTACTACCAGAAAGTACAAACGATTTGTATCTGGAGATTCTTGACAAAATCATAGAAGAATCTGAAATGATATCATTCCTGTCCCAGCGTCTCATCTTCGGTGACATTCTCACCGCCACAACGTCGCTTTCATTTGCCTTTTCTATAAATGTTTTCGTGGTAATTGTTCCGATGAACTCTCCTCTTTGTTTTTTGTTTTTTGTTTGTTTTGTTTTTTTAAACTTTGTAATTTTATTCCCTACCTGCAAGACAAATTGTACATATGGGAAGGAAATAGAGACTTGGGGTATTATGGTGACTGTAATAAATAATAAAATGTGTTGTTTTGGTGTAAGGATTACATGATATGTTTGGATCAGTAATCGTGTCTAGCTACGTTTACGCTAAGACAGATTGAAGACCAACCGTCCCCTAGCTCTTCTTTGGCCTTGTACTACTTTTTTTTCTTTTTCATTTTTTTTTTTTTTTTTTTTTTTGTCAAAACAAAATAAATATTGCTTCCCTCTTTGATACCTCGGCGTCGGAAATTTGAGAGTTGGACTAGATTGGCAGCTAGCTCTTATCATTTTACTGTTAGATGTAACCGTAAGTCCTATAATAATAGTTTCTTCTCACGCATTTCTCAGTTATGGAACTCTTCTCCAACTAACTGCTTTCCCCCAACGACGATCTTCAAAAATTTAAATGCAATGACAATCGCCATCTTGTGTCCCTTTAAATAGCGTTGTTTTTTTAGGCCTCTATTCTCACTAATGTTTTATTCATATTCTTTCACTCTCAGCATTCCCCGACACACACGCTAGCGTTTTAGTGACCTTATCAGCTTACTGGGTTGAAATGATTTAAAAACGTTTTGGTTGCTTAACCAATGAAGACGTGTGATTTTAACAAGAACATTTAGAATATACACTGTGCGAAACATCTCAACAACAATGTTTGAAATTTGAAAATCAATGAAATGCAATTGCATATTACCCGTCAAAAATAACTGTTTTTTTTCTGGTTTAAGATTGCCACTTCTGTTGAGAATATCACTGGGTTCAATCTAATTTTACGGGGCTTTATAATTAAATCGGAAAAATGTTTAGGAATAAAAGCAAAGAAAAATAGGAAAGCAAAGAATATAGCTACAGCAAGGTTTGCTATAATTTCCAATCATTAACCGGGGATCCTTTTTTTTTTTAATTTTAATTACAGATTTAATTTCCTTGCATAAAAAGGGGTTTTCATGGCACAATCCCCTCATGATTCAGCACAAACACAGATAGAAAAAAAGGATAGTAACGAGATGATCCAAGTAGGATATATCGTAAGCCTCTCTATAACGAAACATTATCAGATTGAAAGAAAGAAAAAAAGAAAGAAAGAAAGAAGATAATGGGAAAATGAAATAAAAAGAAAGAAAGAGAGAAAGAAAGAAAGAAAGAAATAGAAAGACTCTTATTCCATATATTTATAGCAATGAGAAAGTAAAAGAAAGTTTTGTTGTTCAAGATCATTCGGAAGGAATTCCTTGATCCTGCAAATAACAAAATTATTGGTTTGGTGCATAATTATCAGGCCTTTATTTTTTAACAAAAGTGTTTTTTTTTTTTTTTAATTGTTTTAATAAAAAATGTTATTTTATTTTCAGGGAATAAAAATGCGTGTCGATAATCATACGATCCAGAATAAAAATTTAAAAATGTTATTGTTAAGTAGTTATGTTTCATTTTTCATAATAAATATTTTTTCAAAAATGCCTGGTAATTATGCACCAACCCAATATTTCCAAAGAATTCTAATGATTTTCCAACTTTATATAATGCCCAAGAAAACCAGTAGAACGCCTGTTGTAGATGCTGGGATTCATTTAATTGTAACAGTCCTACGATTTCCTTCAAATTATATTTGGCAATGATAGATTAGATGCACAGAATGCGAGTGATTCATCAATTTACCATTCCACTGAGCCTATATTTTTCATTGCTTTGCCCTCTTTCACCCAAAGAACAATGTTATCGACAATCTCTTCAGAAAATGGACACCAGAGGACAGCCTTTCAGGATCATGACAACACCCGCCTTTATAAATTGTTGAATTGTTAGCAAATGACGGGAAAATTGATCTTTTAATTCTTTGTGTATATATTTAGGTGTTTAACTTGTACAAGTGTCAGTCATAAAGCAATTGTTGTTGTTCTTACAATCGTAACAAAAAGCCTTCCAGAATTGTAGGATTTCCAGACCTAATCCTTATCATCGTGGCCTTTCTCCTCACTCATAGTATCTGTTATATTGTAACACACCTATTCTATTGTTAATAGACTCTCCCAACTATAATAGGTAGGAGTAGGTCGCTCATTGAGTTGGTTCATTATGAAGTCGGACGACCAGGTGACCGGTTAAACTCTCTGCCTTCGGGGGGCGAATGAGGCTATGCCGAAGGGCGGAGTCTCTTTCGGGGAGGTAAACCGACCCTGAACCCGTTTATACGGGTTTTAAAAGGGCATATTTTTGGCCGAGCCCCCGGGCTCGGGGATCCCCACGTTAACCCGGCCTTGTGCCACATGATACCCTCGTGGGGTGGGGGTGACTAAATACTCTCAGTGAGTTGGTCAGTCAGTCGAGGTCGGACGACTGTTAGTCGGATACTAAAAGTATCAGCGACCACCACTAGATTTCTCTGCGTCATTACCTATTATATCAACTTCCTAACGTTTTGTACGTCGAACCTATTTTAGGACCGACTTAGTGATATACAATCCTCCACTGTGAAACTACTCTACTCTTCGTAAGCCATGTGCGTTTTGCCGTTTTTTACTTCGTTATTGGTTAAATGCTGTTCTTTGACTATTTACTCAAATAAATTTTATTTTCCCGTCGTTCACCCAATATAAGACCAAAGAGTCCCTTAAGGCAGAAGGATACTGAAGGTTGTAGCGATCGGTTGATTAACTGATTCGTTTTCTACGACTTAAAAAAACCTTTGCAGGTTATTTAAAGCCAGAGAATATTTTTGATTGTAATATTTTATTTGTTACAATAATGGATTTGTGACACAAATTTTACTAATTAACCCATAGTTGGGAAGAGAAGTGGTGGATTCATACCTTTTCCCAAATATATATTTATTAAGTGAATACAACTGCCCCAACGGGAACTGGAACCCGCCTCTCTGATTAAAAATTCCGAGCCGTTATCCCGCACATCTAACTTCGCAGCACCTTTTATGCCCAAGCGTTCTCCCATCTATTTACTGACCAGGCGTGACGTTGCTTAACTTCAACATGATGTTGCCGTAAGCCTGTAGTGTTAGGGTAGAATCCTTTCGAGAAAATTTTTTCAAATGTAGCGATTCTTTGTTTTTAACAATGGAATGCGAAGGAAAGGAGGGTAATAGGCCCCTTGTATACCTGAAATGGCGGCCAGTGGCTTTATCGCCTTGGGGACTGGAAGTGTGTTCGAAATAAACTCCTTGGAGACACCTCCTGTAAGATATGCTGGGAGAACATATGTATCTACCCGGGCCAGGTCAAGATTGTTGGGTGGATGAGTCGATTTTTTTTTTTTACAGCACTTGACGCCGAGCATTACCAATTTGCAAAAGCATATCCTGATTGTTCAAGTGCAGCGTTTCCGAAATTGTCACTAACAGGAGAATTTCTTATGCCTAGAAAAGTTGCATTTTATTGAACATACATGTTAGAGTGGACTTCATGTTTTTGGAGGGGTTAGGGAAGGGGGTTAAGGTGTAAATTACATCTACTAGCCTGTGCATTTTTTTTAATGTATCCTCCGACAGGGTACGTACCTACGCCAGCCACCTTCATAGAGGGAAAAACCGTCTGTTCTTTTGACCCCTTTAGAACTTTACATCCTAACAAGGTGTTATTACATTCTTGTTACGAATAAAAATAACGGATGGATCAAATAAGGTAAAAATAAAAATAACGGATGGATCAAAGAAGTATAAAAATAAAAAAATAATAAAAATAATGGCTAAATCAAAGAAGGAAAAAATGAAAATACCAAATATATCAAAGAAGGAAAGAAGATAAAATAACGGATAATCCCAAGAAAGAACTGATAACAATGACGTATGAGTAAAAGAAGGAAAGAATAAAGATAAAGGATTAATGAAAGAAGGAAAAAATCTTTATAAAAAGTATGAAAGAAAGAAATATAAAAATTACGGATGCGTCAAATAAAGACAGCATAAAAATAACGGGAGGATCAAAGAAAGAAAGAACTTACGAATGGATCAATGGCGGAAAAGGAGGGAGAACAAGAAACAAGAGTATGATCAAAGAAAGAATAAAGGAAACGAAGAAATCAAGAAGAGGAAAAGGGAAGAATTATCAAAGAATTGAAATAGAAACAAAAACAACGATGAAACAAAAAAAAAAAAAAAAGAAAAACAGTTAAACGAAACGAAAATATCTTATTAATATCGATCTAAAGTTTTCAAACGAAAGCCAAGGTCAAATGCAAAACAAGGCAGGTCAATGACATGACCAGAACGGAATGTGACACAACTATTTGCAAATTTCTACTTGCGTCATTCAGTTTGTCTGTCAATGGGATTTTCGCATTCAGCTATCGTGCACGTCCGGCGTGTTCATTGGCTGTTTTCCTCCTGTCCACACGAGTTATCACCCTTGTCAGTGATTTATACTTCGTTTTAGCCGACCTAAGCGTCTTGAGGGCCAAAGAAATTTGCAAGAAATGAATATTTAAGAAAGAATCACTGCTGTGCAAAGTCACACCTCAAGATTTTCCAAATGCAATGTTTTGAACCTATGTACACTGTGGAAAATGTTGCAAAATGGATACTGTGTGTGATTTGCATATACAGGGTACGATGGATAAACTGTCGTCTGAATTTCGCAAAAATGAAAATAACACTGACATCTTATTTTAGCAGATATATTCACCAACATTGCACAGAAATATCTTCAAATACTAAAGAGTGAATTTATTCAATAAAATCGCTACTGGTTTCAACCAAAGCCTACAGATGCTTCGGAATATTCTGAAAATCTTTTGGTCGGTCTCCTTCGTTAAGTTAATGAATGCTGCCATAATCCTTGTCTTCAGTACATCTTTGGTGTTACAAAGAGTTTTGTTGGTCTCTCGCTCAAATGCGCCCCACAAATAATAATCAAGGGGTTGCAGTCTGGTAAGTTAGGTGACCAGATATAAGGGTTGATGTGGTCGCAGAGATTGTCTAACTGGGTTAGACAATGTGTGGCATGGTGCAGAGTCATGTTACTAGACATAGAGTTTTTATCAGCCACCCTATTGACCCAGGGTAGCACCACAACCAAAGACATGATGCAGGCCTCTGTGTTAAGTCTGGAGCCCTCACCAACAAATTCGGTAGTTCTTTCCTTATCAGAAAAATCAGAGTGAGTTTTTCGAACTGTCGTACCTTCGTAATCATCAACTCTTTCCGAATCCACTGCACGGCCCTCAAATTGACACCCAAGAACTCTGAAAAGTCCGTATTGGAAACTCCAGCGGGAATGCCAAACAGTACAACATGCCATTTCCATATTTCTGGCGGAGTGAGTTGCGTCATTATACTCATTTTCTCCCAGACAGTGCGCAACTGACCCGACTATTCTGCGCAGTCGACAAAATAAAAAACAAACGGCGTGCATATGCGAAATTGAAAATATAATATGGCGACAATTTACCCATCGCGCCCTCCATGTGCATGTGTTGCCTGTGTACGTTTGTGAGCGCACGGGTGTGTGTGTGAGAGAGAGCGAGAGAGAGAGAGAGCTCAAATTTAATTGTTGGTCACCTGGTGGGGAGAAGGAAATTTCCCCATTAGAGACAAGACATATGTTGACTTTGCTATATTCCGATGTAAAAGAGGAAATTGTTTTAACCCGTCCTTTTATAGTCCTGAACAGCACCACCTAGCGGATGTTTTGTCAGAGTAGGTTGGTGTAATCCTTTCACACACAGACTCAATATATATATATATATATATATATATATATATATATGACTGGCCACCCGTCAACTAAACTAGCTCGAAGTCACCTTTCTGACAAATCGGCCATAGTGAGATTCGAACACAGGTCTCATGGTTAGGAATACTCGTGCCTGTCATGCATAGAGAGAAAGGCAAACAGCGAAAAGAGATAAGAGAAAAGAGGGAGAAGTAACTGTTTTAACGTGACTCTAAAACTACCTAAATTGGTATTCCACTGCGAGACAAAGATCTTCATGGAAATCCTAATTGTATTACTACATACGGTATTGTGCTGACATAATACACAATTAATGTCTATCATCTTACAAAAGTACTGTATATTAGTACTTTTATAGTCCTTTTGGTTAAACGGAGAACTTTTCATCACCCTCTTCGATTTCTCTCTCTCTTTATATATATATATATATATATATATATATATATATAGATATATATATATAAAAGTGAACATAGAAGTCAACACTTAGAGGCGACAGTCTGTTTCATGCTATATGCAATCGTCAGGCCACGT